CGGTATTTTATTACTGTACTTATTAATTGTTCTGCATAATTGTAAAAAAAACACATCAGTAATTTTATGATTAAATTGTTACTACTGGAGTCTAATATTACCATATTACTTCCATTAGGGAAAACTAGAATTTTACTAACAATAACTATGTTCCTGATATTTCTCCTTAGTGGTTTTTGTTGCAAATTTAGTGATTTACAAAAAGATATATTTACTATTTAAATATTTAGCTTTTCATCATTTATGTTGCTTTCTCTTTAGGGCATGTTTGCACATGTTTAAAGAGAAATGAAACACTTAAATTTTAGAAAACAAATATTGTCTTTCTCTATGGTTGTGGGTAAAGGTCTGATTTTAGGGTATGTTCTACTTACAAAATGGTTGGGGTAACTTGATATCCATCCCTATGACTATTGAATCATGCCCGTTTGCTGAAGGAAATTCTGATGGTCCTAAAAGTCTGCTTCTTTCCAAGCTGCCCTGCCTGAGTGACCCAGAGCATCCATGTCAGGTTCCACATTAGCAAGCATCAGTTTGAAACACCAAGAGACCATGAGAAATGGAAAAGGAAACAGAAGATGGACATTCTTTCTTATGTACTTCATATTTCAATGATCTAAATGTCGTAGTGTCTAGTATTTAAGAATTAAAAGTGCAAAGAGGTAAAACATAATAAATATTTAAGCCCCAGCATTTTTATTGAATCTACTAGTATATTTTGATGTAAATTTTGCTAGCCTGCAGCATCTGTGCATCATCTTGACATGGTAAATGAAATTCCTTTAGACCGCCAGTCTAAAATAATGAATTGTTCCCCTAGTTAATTGTATTGCTTTGATAACAAAGAACTATGCTAGGGCCTAGAGAACGCAATAAGTGGATTTCATCAGATGATTTGTGTGACAGTTTGAAAAATGATCGGCTGGAGTGACCTGATTTTAATGGAACTCAGCATGCACCACCACACAGGATCTGACTGGGACCGAGCACTTCGTCCTAGGGCACAAGACACGCAGTTCATTTCTGGAAAACTTCCCATCCAGGAAAACTCCCAAGAAAGTCTAGGCCAGGAGAAAGTGTGTGCTGCAAGGGCTCACACAATGGACCTGTTTCTAGGTTGCTCTTATTTTATTAATACATATCTTTTTTTAATCCAGAAAAGATCTCATTACCTTTCTCCTGTCATTGCCTGTGTGTGAATAAACCAAGACCAACAAAATGGGAACAAAATGGGAGCAAGCAAATGGAGTCATTTAGTGCTTTCCATAACAAATGAGTCCATCACTGAGCTTGGTGCTCTGGCAAGAATGAGAAGGCAGGTAGAGGAGAGGGAAAGCTTTCAGAAGCGAGCATGGGCACTTCAGGTGTGCCAACTGGAGGATGTTAGTTTAGGGAGCAGGATAGGCAGGCTAAGTAGAAGTGGCACCTTCTGCAATTGGTTAGAGCTACATATTTGCTTTTCTCTAATTGTCCTAAATTGGAAGTGTGAACACCAGTTAAGGAAGCTGTCAGTTATCCTGACCATCAGAGGACAATGGTTCTAAGGATTATTGTTTAACTTCATGGATTATTACTTGAGATAGCAGGTTGAAGTCCTATTAGTCTGACTTAATGCAGCTTGGCTTTCTATGGGGCTCATTGTACATAAGGAGTTGGTTTTCTGAGTATGTTACTATAGGTTATGGATCAGACTTCTGTTTTCATATGTGGACTGGCCGTTATACATATCTTCATTCTCTCACCAGCATATAAATGGTATGATTAGGGGATGAGGAAGTAATATTGTCTTCTTTAAAGTATGCTAATTTGACTTTTCTTCTAATCAGTTAAGAAAATTAGTTCCCTTACCTTAACAAAGAGTGCTGAAGCAAAATGATAGAGATTACTTACTCTCTGTACCCCGTCTCTTTAATGAGTCCTCCCCACACAATGCAACTCAGAAGGACAGGGACCTCGTTCCCTTGTTGGGTCTTTTATCCAGGTCCTGTCTCAGGATGAAAGAGAACCTAGAAACTTCTGGGTTGTTCCAGTTCGTTCTTTATTTGGGGAAATTCACCCTATAGCAAACATAAATAAATACAAAAATAATAACAAAAAACTTATATTTAACTTGGCATTCAAGGTATCCGCACACACATAAATGCAGTTACTATGTCGATATACACACAAATGCAGTAATTATGCTTCTGTATTGTTCATAATTAAATTACAAGATTTATAAAGCTGAATAATCCATATTGGGCTACAAACTGTGTGATCTAGTAAAGGACTCAAGCTTAACTCTGTATGAAAATGTCATTGCCCCATCTATAAGACCTTGGGCAAGTGACCTTGAGTGATCTCTGAGCACACAGGGTAGAAACTGAAATATCACTGCCTGGAGAAATGCAAGATTTCCCACCCAGTTACCACCTTTCAAGGAGAAAACATGGTTGATTGTTACATTTTCATAGGAAAAATAAAAAGCTGTCAAATTAAAAATAAGCATGATTGGTTATTTTATTTGTAAATTAAATGTAGTTTTAAGAGCTGGCATATGTTTATGTTTTGGTTTTTGATTTTTTAACTGAATGTGTTTCCAAGCCTCAAAATCACTAGTGAACCCGGGACCTGTTGAAAGAGACACTAGTTTAATTAGATATTGGACTTCATACATCCTAAAATACAAAGAAATTGTGGCAGTTTTAAGTTAGTATAGAATTTTCTGTTTTGGCAACCCAATTTGTTTGCTTCTCTTCTGGCTCTATATCTTCTGTAAGGAAAATGTTTGTAGCCACAAGTGAAAGGAAAAGTATTATTTTTCAGAGCTTCTTTGAACTAGGTCATGCAGTAGTTTAATGAACAACATGATTTCATATTTGGATGGTGTGATCATTGAAATTAGTCTAAGTGGTCTCTGTCCACATTAAAGGAGACATATATTATTTGTCATATTTGGCTGTATCTGGATAAAATGGTGCCAGGAATGAAATAGCAGGAAGTTGTAGATTATGACAGAAATGTTCCAAGAGATTTGTGGAAATTTAAGATCGAACTGAACTGAATTTTCAGTTAGCATAATCACTGTCTGCGATTTTTTTTTAATGAATGCCATTCCCCTCCATTTAGACAAGAAATAAGAAAATAATTATTTGCTACAGCAGATAAGAGATGAAAACTTCTGTACTGGACAGTTTCGATGTTCACATGAGCTTTTCAAAGATCAAGAATGTAATTTTTATTTAAACTTTACACTTGCAATGTCTCTAAGAAATTCAGGATAATATTTAATACACTGAAAGAGAAAGATACTTGATAGCAAGCCTTAAAAGGTAAATGTGTATTATTAGCCTAGGTAGTAGTGATTATTGCAATTTTGTAATCCCTTCCCTCTCTAACACCTTAAATTCCTCCGTCTCCACAGACACATTTTCTTGTCTTCAATCATTCCCTCATATAATCATAGACATCCAGGTACCATATATTTAATCTGACTCTGTTGCTTCCCCTTATCATTTTCATCACCAAAATGTCTTAAATGTGGGACTTGTGCCTGTTAGCCACATTTCCTCTCATCTGTTTCCCTACTTAACTTTTAAGCTTCCATCATCAGTTAGGTTCAGAAATCGCTCACAGATCACCAGAATCTTCTTTGAGGGAATCTAACAACTTGTGCCATTGCCAGGCCTGACCCTGATGACCTGTGTGGTACTTTTTCAAACTTCTCAAGCCACCCCCTCCCCTGACTTCCGCAACACTGCACCAGCCTAGGTAACCTTCCTCGTGCCTGGCCGTGTCTGCATGGGCATTTCTTTATATTCATAAATCTCTGGAGTTCTGTTCTGGACTGATCATTTTTGAAGCTTACCTAGAATAAATTGATTCACAAGAATAAAATAATTCAATGACTTCTTAGGTGGGATAAGACCCAAAAGAGAGGCCTCCCTCCAAGAGCAGTACGTGGAGGAGACAGCTATGACAACTCAGGGATTGGGTCAGCTTGCTTCAAAGCCAAGTCTCTAAGACTCCAGAGAGAAGGGAATGAATTCTAAGTTCTTCAGTGACCTCTGTCTAAATAAGGCTAAGTGCTCTGGGCCTGGTTGTACCTATAGTGATTTGAGACATTTTGTCTAACTCAAGAACTATGAGATGCAAAAGAAACTAAGTTGACTCAGGGTATATAAATAAATAAAGCAGGGTATATAGTTGAACCATTGATTGTATAAATTTAATAAATTTTCAAACACCTCCAAAAAGCACCACCCTGGGGACGAAGCTTTTATTACATGGGCTTTTGAGAATATTCACCATCCAAATTGGAGCAAATATATATTTCTCAGTGAAAGAAACCAGTCTGAAAGGCTGCTTTTTGATTCCAACTATACGGTGTTCTGGAAAAGGAAAAACTATAGAGACTTTAAGAAAAAGATGCATTTGCTAGAGGCTTTGGGGAGAGTAATAAATCAAGGATTTTTAGGGTAGTGAACAATTCTATGTGATGATGTAATGGTGGCTACATGACATTATGCGTCTGTCAAAATCCATAGAACTGCACAACACAAACAGTAAACTATAACGTGAACTATGGACTGTAGTTGATAACCATCTATCAGTATTGGCTCAATTTTTCTGTAAGCCTGAAAATGTTCTAACTGTTAAAAAATGATATTGATATGATGAGTTTCATTCCTAAAAAATAAAAACCAAAATAATAACTTTCAAAATTCCTAGTACATCTAGAGCAAACAGTATTCAGACATAGAAATTAAGGGGTGGAGTCCTATCCACAATTGAATGTGATGTTGTTCAAACACTGGACTTGCTCAAAGTTAAAGTTACATTAACTTTGTTCACCTTGTTCTTCTTCAAGTATGAAGCGCTCTGTTTGATAACATCTGATGAGCAGCTGAACATTCATGACTAATTGTGAAGGAATAGGAAGCAGGACCCTAAGCCACCATCGCCCTGCCTCCCGGAAATGTCTAAATAAGCATTTAAATGCCTCTTGCTTTCTCTTTCAGGCCTTGCAATTGCCAGTGCCCTGATAGACATTTCACAACAGAAGCCTTCAGATAATAAAGACAAAACTTCGGGAGTCCGAAATCGAAAACACCTCTCCACACGTCAAGGAACTTGTGTCTGAGAAATGGAAATCTCTCCCGTAGATTCTGTACCGACTGACTTTGTAAATGGCTTCCGTTTTAGCTCTTCTATAACCTCACATTTTATAGAGGCCAATCTCTGTATAATCCTGGGCCAGAGTACAATTCCCTCTACATGGGCAATTTCCCAAGTGGCCAAAGAATGTTCACGAGTTTTATAAAAGCAACAGTGTTGATGGTCACAGGTGATAAAGTCAGTTTCTACAACTACTGGACCTTAGGCTTATCATAGCTAACATTAAATTACTCTGGAAAAAGATGTATATTATTTCTTAACGCAGCTGGAAATACGTAATTCATATAAATCAACTGTTTATATCCCAAGACTTTAAAGAAAGACATTTTATAATGCCTGAATGATAAAAATTGTACAGTTTTTGCCTCATAAACAAACTTAGGTCACCTATATATGAACAGAAGAACACATCCCAAGGCTTTAAATAGTATTTTTTCTCACTGTAAATGTGAAAGCAAGATTTTGATTTAGTGGGATGCAGATAATGTATTTAAATATTTCATATGACCATATCACGTCCAAACTCGAGTTGAGAATGTAATAATTTTCTACCTAACCAGAATGTAGACCAGAATAAGTCTGTTTAGAATGTGTACCACTTCACAAGAGGTTTATTAGAATGCTGAGTGTAGGGGACATTCCTGTCATCCATGCCAACTGCCTAACTCATTATCAGAGCTGATAGAGCATGGAAAAGCCTGTCCAGCAGTCAATTTTTCTCCTTCTTCCAAAAACAGCCTCCAATACCACAACCTGAAGAGAGCTGAAATAGTTATTTTATAGTATGCAAGCTTCTGCTCCAAAATGGTAATTTTTAATTGCCTAGGAATGTTTGGGTCAGTCCTAAATGATCTATCTGCATTTTTATAGCAACGTGCCATTTTATTTTGGCCTTCCTTTTCTAGCTGCTAGATTTTATTTACCTTTTACAAATGTTATGCAGTGTATGTTAGAGATAACAGCTCCCAAGTTATTATATGACCCAAGTTCTTTCCTGCCAACTATTTCACATGGAATATAAGCAGAAAAGAGTATCGTCTGGTATCGGCAGGATCCCTGTTTCCAACATGAACACATTGGTGCCATGAGAGAAATTCTCCAGTTCAGAAAAGTAAGTTCATTGTTGGCTACATTCAGCACATTCCTAATGACTTAATACTCTGAATTATGGCAGAAAGAAAAATAAAATGAAGCAGCTTTCACACTGGAACACAGAAACATTTGTGCCCTAATACTGACAACAACTCACTAAAGCTCAGACCCATTTGGAATTGCAGGATATAGAACAATGACAGATATCCAAAGCTGCTGTATACAGTGTAGTTTTATTTAATCTGACAGTCATTAAAATCTAATTGATCTTTAGTACTATATATGTACTTTTCATGTTCTTTGGATTTCTGGAAGGTAATGACATTTTACAGTTAATGCCTCGTTACTTGCATGCCATGGTTGTACAGTAGCAGAATATGACCCTATTGTGATATTAAACGTTTATTTCAAATGCCATTTATACATAGTCAGCTTAATTTAATGAGGATTGACTGTAATATATAATAGGAATGATCATACAATATGTAGTTGCATCTTATAAAAGATTGCTAGGTTGCATCTAATCATGACTATGTCATTATTTTGATAATTAGGCATTTATAAATTATAGTATATATTTCCTATGTTGGCATGTTAATTTTGCTATTTTCCATGCATTAAAAATAAGACAATTCTTAAAGTAATTTTAGTAATTTTATCTATAGCTTGTGAGTTTTAGGGGGCAAGAGAGGCCTGATTGTTTTTACTTCCCTATGATATTTTTATCTCCAAAAAATCAGTGAGCTAAGTTTGCAAATGTAGTTATCGCCAAAACAACGATCAAGTAATTTTATCAGCTTCTTTTTGGATCCTTTAAATCTTGATTTTTCTCATGGAAAAATAAATTGACAAAACTTGTCAGTACAAAGATACAATCATTTTAAAATAGAGCGGTTGCCCAATTTGTTTAATTCTCTAACAGTTTTCTCTAGAGAAAGCTTATATAACAGGAACACATAGACTTTTATGTAAAAATCTCAGTTATATCTTTAGAAAGGCTAAGCAAATAGTAGCAATACTATGAAAGAATTGTCATGTTTCATTCACCTTGAATTTTATTGGGTTTTAAAACAATTTTTATTAGTACATGTTTTCAGTACATAATGATTACATTCATTATAGGGAACTGGTACATGTACATAACACATCTCAGTTCTTGTTTTACTCCTTTTCTCCACTCCCTTTTATTTTGCCACCATCAGGCTCATTTATGTATAAATCATTATAAAGTTGAATATAATTTATACAGCTTAACAACCAGACCAAAAAACATATAAACATATAAACCAGGCCAAAAAACATAAAACATAAGACAATTATTTGAATTTTAATAAATTATGGAACATAATACAATGTTAAGTTAAAGTTGTATTATACCTTTCTAAGCCATATATTGCTAACCCCATGGCTAATTATGCATTATATTCTTTATTTATCAAAGCATTTTACTGATAATAAAATTCTTTTCCTTCACGTGAAGTTGGCTAAAAACCCATCAAGGATGAAGAATAATCATTTTGAATTTGTGTCTTGTCTTCTCCCCACACCACAAACACTTTAAAATTGGATGCTCTTATTTAAAAAAAAAAATCAAAGCACAAATATATGCAGATGCTTTCGGAGAAGTTAGCAGTTAATTGGCTAATTCTCTTGAAAACTTACCTAAGTGGAATTCTGAACATTTCAGTATAGAGTAACTGAAAAAATCTTCAGATTTTAGGATTTCTTGTTCCGCTAAGCATATAAAAATCTTGGTTAAATGCAACGTAGTTTTTAAAAATTAACCTGAGAACACTATTTGGACAGCTAAAGAATTCTTGTTAGAAAAGAATCTGTTTATGCTTACAGATCAGTTTAATAAATTTCTAAAGAGTTCAGATTCTCACTGAATGAAGAGCTATTTTAGTGATATACAGAGAAAAAATAGCAGCCATATTCTATAGTGTTCTGTTTAATAGCAAAACTGCAAGTTGAGCATATTTAAATATGTAATCGATCTTACTGTATTTCCCAGTGTCTCATTTTCTTTCAGTGTCAGTAAGACACAGGTGACTATGTCACTTAGTGTGCAGGCTGGTGCACAGGCTGGAGGACAGACCCCAGAACCAGCTTTGAGGTGAGTGCCTGGTGCTGGGGAAGCTTTGAAGGCAGGCCCAGCTTTCGCACCTGTAAAGGGAGGCAGTGAGGTAGCAGACATGAAGTTACCACAGCAGCCCTCGATGCAGCATGGCTGGTGTTAATCATGGGGTCACCAGGGCGCTCTCTTCCTACCAACTGATTTATGAGCCTGTTGTTTAATTTTCATTCACCTTCTCACCATTGTTAAAAGTCAAGCAGGTTGATGCAAAAAAGACTTCCTGAATATCTTAAGTTCCTGTATTTCTGTGATATGGAGAATTTTTTAAAAGTTACTTTTGTATTTAGGTCAATAGAGCTTTGACTCTAAATCTATATAAAGTTTCAGTTGAGCATTTTTAATGGCTATTTGATGACATTTAGACAGGAATATCAATTGTCACCTTATCACATACAAACTAGGCAAGAAGGGGCCAGTGCCTAAAATGTATTGTCATATATGGTACATCTTTTTCAGTAAGCATAAAACTATCGTTTGAAAAGTGTTTTGTATTTTTTTTAAAGATTATAGAACTGATCAAATAAACTAATTCTATTCATCTACACTTTTCACAAAATCCATTTCCAAAACCCATTTGTTATTTCATAGAGTTGGGAACTTACCCCTTCATGATAATTTGCCAGGTTAGTGTGATTCCTACCTTCAGGAGCAGAAGGATTAGGGTGGTCCTGGAGGGTAGTACAGTGATTCTTACTAAGGGGCAAATTAGGGGAACCCTGTTCTGGGCCAAAGAGCAGCCTTTATCTACAATTACAGGGAGTTCTTTAAATAATGAAGTTATCACCCTAATTCAAAATGCTTTACATAATTTTCCAAGGAATACAAGCCATCTGGTTGATACTCGGCAGTGTTTTCATTATAGTGTGCATTTAATATTTCTGTTTTATCAAATTTTCTAAATTAAGTAGTAGAACCATAGCTACTATCAGTATATATGTAAAGAGGTGTGCATGCCAGTGTTAAAAACAGATCGTGTAAAAGTTCAAATCTGCTTTAAAAAGCCAACATTTCAGAATATAATGTGCTATTAATCAGGACTTTAATTATTGAAATAAAACATTGCCTCTTCCAACCCCTACTGCCATATGCAGTTTTATTTCTTTTAACCCTTTGAAGATCGTACAGGAAAAATCACTGCAAGAACCTGAAAAAGCACGTCTCCACATAAAACTTGGTTGTAAAATGTGTGTTGCTGGATTTCCACATGGTTCTCTCCTGCTTTTCACCCAGTTCTCCTTGAGCTTTCTTCCACGCGCACTTTTGATGGCATGCTGAGCACTTGGAAGGCTCCTGAGGATGCAAGGCAAAACTCACAAGAGACTGAGCAGCTAGGCTCCGGCTATGGCTGGAGTCTGTCCCTGGCCCTGTGTTTTATGTTTACAGAAACTGTTCTTAGCAAAAACGTCAGCCTGTGAGCCCAGAGCAGCTATGGCTAATTGAGTTTTCTGAGAAAAGCCTTTACATTTTGGGGTAAACTTTGGGCTTAGTGACTGTGTAGCCATCTGAGTGGAAACCTTATGTAAGTGGCATTTCTCTGCCAGGTCTCTGGGGCATTTCTGGGAAAGAGCAAAGCAAGAAGGACCCAGTCCCACAGAAAGATCAAGAGCCTGTGACCCTCCTGAGCTGAGGGCCTCATGCACACCAGATACCAGGATCTTGACCTGAGGCCACACTGGGGCTAGCGCTGCCTCTGCTTTCGGGGATGTAACTGGGATTCCTCTTCCAAAGGAAGCCTTCTATCACAGTTTCCAGGGGCCAGGCCAGGGAAAGAATCCGAGAACAAGAGGCCCCATTTAACTCTGAGCAACATGCCCAGTCTGGTTAGCATCTCCCAACAGCAATAAAAAACAGAATCTTTGGGAGAATCCTGGGCAAAAGTGTGCCAGAGCTGACTGCATCTTGGAGCCTCTTTCTTTTGCAACAATAGGCAGCAGCTGTTCTGTGATCCTCCAAGCCACACACTGCTCTGCAGCTTTCTGTTGGTGGATCAGAGCCTATGCAGGGATTTGGAGGTTTTAGCTCAAATTGACTTTTCTCTGGCAGAAAGGGTCATTTGCCTAGAAATCTGAGTGGCTGCAGTGAATGATAGGCATTCTTTCAGCTCCAACTCACAACCCTGTGATAAACACACAATTCCCTCTCTCAGTTCTTACTTCCTCACTCGCTTAGAGTCAGGGCACCTGATATAACCACGGCAGCCAAGGTATTGTGGAGCTTTAATTTTGAAGCCCTGCTATGACAACAGATAGTACTATTTGGTTTTCCAATACGAAGCTACATTATAACTTTGAATAAGGTTCTATAAATTACCCCCCTTCCATTCTAATCTGCCTGCTTCCTAGCACTTACCCTCTTCATTGAGGAAATAATTCTCATTCAAAGATTGGATTGGAGCAGTTCTAACTGAACAAGAAACCAAACCCCTCAAACAGCATTACAGAAACACTATATTCAACTCATGAGAAAAAGGTTTAGCCAGTATTATTTTTGGCAGAAGTGATATTTTCACCCAGGCAAGGTAGTTGTCTAAACAGCTTCTCTAAACCAGCTGTGTGTGTGGTCAGATAAAGAATCTTGCTCTAGAAAATCCTCCTGGGAATATAGCATTAGCCTCCAAATTCTTGTAAGAGTTCTTTGGGCTTCTATAGCCTCTGTTTCCTGAAGATGTTTTAAATTTTGTGTTTTAGGGTGATGTGTAAGCTATCTTAAAACAGATCCATCGTGGGGAGGCGCTCAAATTGTAATGTAGATTCAAATGTCAGCTTTTTTGTAATGACTTGGCTCAGTCATCTAAGCCATTTATAAGTAAACTGGCCTAAAAATGCTCACCTATGTCATGTGCATTTTGTGATAGACTTTGTTATTGGTGTTGCTGTTGTTGTCTAAATGGGAAGCAGACCATAGTTAACTATTTTATTTTACTATCAGAAGGTCCAAAGTTAAATTCAGTGAATCATGAGCATTGATCTTTCTCCTGAATTTTTTTTTTGGGGGGGGCTATGGGGATCGAACTCAGGACCTTGCACTTTCGAGGCACGCAGCATCACCACTGAGCTAAATACCCGGCTGAATTTTTTTTTTTTTTTGGAAGGGGTAATACTAAAGTGCATAGATTTGCCAAATTTCTTAAATAATTGAACTGTCATTGAAACCAGTGGTTTGTGCTGCCTGGTGAGTCAGAGGCGTGCTTTCCAGATTTTTATAGTATCTATAACATTTTACGTATTACCTTCTTCAACTTTAAATGGTAATTTTATACCAAATACCAACAGATTGTGTTAGATTTTTCTTTCCCATCATCACATATCTCTCCTGACCCCTCATCAACTACTCAGCTCATTTTCCCTATCTGCAGACAAGCACACCCATACTTCTTTCTATCCTTCCCTTAAAAATAAATAAATAAATAACATAACATAACATAAAATAGGTCTTGCACATCGTTCCACTGTGACAATGAACGGAGGCAGCAGTAATCTTTTCCTTTAGATCAGCTTGTTTGAAATACGATGGCACTTAAAACGGAAGGCCAGCTGGAAGGACAGCAGTAAAAACACCAGCTCAGCTTGAAACAATTTGATTTCAACATGAAATGAATTACCTTGCCACACAAACAGATAAAGCAAACCGGATATGCTACTTATCAAGTTCTTCTGAAAGTCAGAACTCTGGGTTCAGTTGATGCTTATTGCCTGGTGAGGATAGAAGGAAGAAGGAGTATATCCAGATGAACAACAGACATCTGTATGAAGATTGACTGGGAAGAAGGAACAAACCCTGAGTCTGCAGCGTCCAGTCCTTGCTGGTTTCTGAAGTGGCAGCTCCAACTTGACCTTCATGATCAACACCATCAGGGTGGGCTGTCAAGGAAGCAGCCTGTCCATGACAGAGAGCTACCAAGTAGCACCATTCTGTCTTTCAGAAGCAAAGTCTATGATAAGCTGGTCAAACCAGAAGTTTGTAATGGCATATAAAGATGCCTTGGGTTTTATACACAAAGTGCAATATTTTGGTGACATGATTTTTTATTTTCACAACAATGTCCAGAAGATGGATATGTGGCAACCTTTTTATTAATAATTCTTATAAGGGACCATATATCACTGAACAATTTTGGTTTTGCATATTAGTGAACTGAGAATTATTGAGTCCTAAAGCGGAAGACACAGAAAGGCATAAGATACCTTCATGGGAACCCTTTTGGGGAAAAACAGTTTTTCTTAGTTTTTCAAAGCATTATAATAATGCCTATAGTCTGCCATACTTCATACTGCCTTAATACAATTCATAGAAGCATTCTATTTTTAGTAAAAATTACATATTATTGATGGAGTCTTGATAATCATCCTTATGTATTCTAGGCTCTAAAGCACTATTAGCAATATTTACAAAGATTAATCAAGTTTATCATCTTGTAACTTGACAAGGATGATTAATAAATTCTAAAAGGTTTATAATCTAAGTTCTTGGTGTAAACTTTAGTTCAATTTGTCAGATGTGTCACTTTGCACCACAAGTTTCAGAAGCTGAGTCTTAAATACTTTAAAACTCAGAGTGGGTGGGAAATAGTAGCACCGTTAGACAGGTTATTTTATCGGAAGGAGTATATAAACTATGTAGTGAACCAAAAATAGCCAATGAAATAGAAGAAACTGAAGGATTCTATTGATTTTTTTTAAGGACTGTTGAGGAAGCATGATTTGATTGTTAAATGGAAATCGGGAAAACTAGAAAGAAACAAAGATTCTACCATCAGCTGAATGACTAAAATTTGCCATGCTTACCACCAGCATAGAAAGATGAGAATCTGCTCCTACTTCCTCCAGGAAGCTTGTGATGAACAAGCTTCCAGATCCTCAGAAGCTCAGCTCCAGCCTCACAGCACTCATATCAGAGGGCTCCGAGGGCTTTGTGTACAAACAGACTGTAACACTCTTTGGGTCATTATACTCTTATAAAAATTGGTTTTCTAGTGACATTCCCATAGTTATGATTAAATGTTGTCCAGCTTTTTAAGGTAGAGGAACATATTGTATCTCACTAAGGTATAAGAGTGGCCCTGACTACTGTGTTGGTGCATACAGAATAGAAGAACTACAGTACCTTGTCACACTCTGAATTCTCATCTGTAGCTATTTTAGGACCTTTAACATTTTGACCCACTCTTAAATGATAAAGTCACTCATCTATACATGAACATCTGAAATCTCATCAGATGATAACATAAATGAGATATTGTATGCAAAACACTGAAATATGTATCCAAAATAATAACTCACATGGTTTCTCTATCAATATAGGCAAGCATTGAAATCTGTATCCGAAATAATAGCTCACATGATTTCTCAATCAATATAGGCATAGATAACACGCTTTTAAAGCTTTCAACAAAATACTAAACTAAAACATATTCCTCTCTTCCTGTTAGTCATTATCTAGATATTTTTCTCATAGATAAACAATCTACAGTGTGTTTACTGAAGCTTGCACTGGCATTCCCCAGTAGTGCTTGCAACTTGAGTTTTATTCCAGCAGCTACACGAAATGAGTCCACAGCGCAGAGCAGGCAGCCCCTCTGGAACCTGAGATTATTTGTTCCCTCACTATTCTAAAGGTAATTAAGGAGCATTGCATGTTTCTCAATTAATGATTTCTCATTCAACAGGGGATCTTTGATGCTAATTTGTTTTAATCAGGGCAGAGGCTGCTCAAAAACTCTAAACAATTCAGTGAAGAGGAACTAGGAATTTTTAATCAAGTGGAAGAGATTTAAATGCTATAAGGAACACATCTATCATGTGCTTTCGATTCCTGTTCATTTAACTATGTTCTGCTGGTTTCATAAACCAGTGTGAAATTATTAAATAGAGCATATTATACTACACAGTACAATTTTTCCTCCTCTATTTGTGGGCATATATAAAATGGACTTTAACTTCTCCCATGTAAAGCATATTTACATTTGACCTTCATTTCTTTCCATATATAGAATATATTGATACATGCATTACCCTTTATTATATACTACAGTAAAAGTAGAAAATGTTTATGCAAGAGTATGTTTGCATGTAT